TTCATATTATTCGATTTTCAACATTAATTTTTCATTTGTATTTGTATTTGTTTGATTTTTCGATTTGTTGGTTATAAAGTTGCCATCTTTCTTTTGTTTCGTCCGCCATTTTGATTAAGATTTAAAAATGGCTGAACAAATGTTCGATTGAGAACTATGAAAGCAAATGTTATAGCTGATTTTTAGATTTAATGGAAATATTCAATTGAATATGAATATTAGATATATTTTGATTGTTGAAAATGTAGAAAAAAAAAAGAAGAAAAAAATGATCTGCTTAATGGATCGATCACGTGTAATACATATGTAACTTTATCGGGTAGATTTCAAATCCTCTGCCTAGCGAATTCGTTGTTTTATTGCTTTCCTGGGCTTTTTTGAAGCCCTTTTGGAAAATTCCAATTTCAACTCTATTGACGCATACTTTCTATCCGTTCTCGATTTCGTAGACGACATATTTCATTATCGGCTTTTGAATATCCCGGAAAATTTTCACCAAAAATAACGCATGATATATTATGATGGTACGATCAGTAAAGTAAATTTTCTAAATTGCATTAATACTCTCTCTCTCTCTCTCTCTCTCTCTCTCATTCTCTCTCTATTTGACGTCATTACATTATATTATCATGCACTTAATCAATTTTTTTTTTTTCAAATTTATTTTACTAAAGAGGAAAAAAAGAGAATAATTATACAATCATTAGTCAAATAAATAAATTTCGATTAAACGAAGATCGTCCGATTATTTAATAAATAAATATTTAATTTATAAAACGTTTATATATGTATAAGTATTCGAAAGGTTTATTTATTTTTCGATCGAATTATTAAAATAATAAAACGATTATCAATTTCGTCGACATTTTTTAAATGAGTGTCCGGACAAGATGGCGTAACTTACAAAGATAACCTAAATTTTCAGTGATTAGAAATATATCACAAAATGAATACAGTATGATTATACAATTGAGATAATAGTTTTTATTTATTCCCAGATAATAAAAAGAATTCAAATAAAATCAAATCTTTTTTTCCGACACAATTAATGAACTAAATTAAATATAAAAAAAAAAGAAATAACGCGACAGAAAATGATGTTCCAAGCGAACTATTTTAACGGCACTATGGAACGACGAATAGAGGAGTAAAATTTGAAAAGCAAAGCATAGAAAGTGTGTTGTGTGTGTGTGTGTGTGTGTGTGAGAGAAAGAGAGAGAGAGAGAGAAAGATAGAAAATGCTTTAGGAAAATCAAGTTATCTTGTTCCATATAGCCATATAGGTGTCTCTCTTTCTCACACATACATACACACACACATACACATACGTGCACGAAAGATACTTTTACTATTTATTATAAAAGCGTGTTATTTCCTATTCCTTCGGGGCAAATTGGATCACCCAATATGAACTTTGCATATTTAGCGTTAAAAGTGTCCGTAGATTTTTGCTTTATAGTTTACATTTCTCCTTTGTTTTTTTCCTACAAAGTCTATGAGAAAAAAGTTTTATCGAATGAAATAGATAAATTGATATTTTTTAAGTAGATATAGTGAGTACGATTCGACGAGATTCTACATAGAAGAAAAAAAGAAAAATAATATTAATAATAACTATTTATAATACTCATCTCTCTTTAATCAACAGTCCAGTTGTTCAGTTGTAAAACAAGAAATTAAAATTGACAAATACTACAAAAATGATTGATACACAGTATGTGTATTGACACGAATTTACTAATACGTAATTTTGTAACTAATTAATTTATTATCTCGAATTAAATTGTTTTATAAAAAGAAAAAGAAAATGAAAGTTTATTTATCGAGCAGATAATTAGCAGTTTTAACGAGCTATAGAACGAGTCAGGTTAGGAAGGCCAACGATAATCGATATTCCTCTAATCGCGAAGAAATGTAATTTATCTCTCTCTCTCTCTCTCTCTGGTGAGAAGGAGGGGGATGGGGGTGTAAAAGGGGGAAGACTGTTCCATCTTCTTCCACCCTATTTGGAACGCCCCTTTAACTTGGCAATCGTGTTACGATTAGAGCCGCCCTTCGTCACGTGGCAACTCCTAATTAGATTTTCTTTTTTAACGTTAATTCGTTTGACGCGGGGGTGGGAGAGGGTGAGTGAGGAGACGAGGTAGGTGGGTAAAGAACTTGGAAGTATTTTCAAATAACTAACCATCGGGTTATTCTTACTTCGTATTTCCCTTTCAACTCTGCTTCGTCGTTTATCTTCTTTTTTATTTCTTTTTTGTTTTTTTTTCCTTCTTTTGTGTTTCCTTCTTTCGAGGTGTTCGCAAAGAAGCTGAAAGTAATCTCTTCTATTTTAAAAATAAGAAGAAAAAAACAAATAATAATATACGCATTAAATGATAAAGAATACAGTCGAAGTGTGATAGAAAAGTGTATCATTAAATGGAAAAAAAAAACAAAACAAAAGAAAACGAAATAAAAATGAAATATTACGATCTATAAAAGGTAAAAAATAAAAAAAGTAATACGAATGAAATGAACAAAATGAACTCGTTGAACGCACCGCGCAAAGGGTTCCAGGGAAAGGAGGAGGAAGGGGTGTCTCACGTAAAATCGCATATATTTAATTTATTTAATAACAAACGAAATTATTTCTGTAAAATTATATAAGGTAAGATTGATAAATCCATTGATAAAACTTTAAATAAAAAACAAAAAGTAAAAAGGTAAAAGTAACAGTAAAATAAAAATAAATAGTAACTCTAGACTGAAAAAAAAAAGAAAAAAAATAAAGAAAGAGAAAAAAGGAAAAGGTTGTAAAGCGTTAAAAGTAGGAAAAAGCTCTCACCGAGAAGCTATCTAAGTAGTTATCAGAAATTTCACGAAGCAAAAGCATTCAGTACCACTTATCGGGCCATCCAACGATCCCCAACCTCCAATTCCTCAACCCTTGGCAACCTACCCCACTCTTTTACCCCCAACAACCCCTATACTACTACCCTCAGTAAGCTGTCTTTTCTTTATCTCTCAAACATATCTCTTACTTTCTTAAACGCAAATACAAAAACAAGCAACTAGAGACTGAGGTAATCGTTCGTAAAAAAATGTTCTATCTATGCTAAACTCAAAACATTATTTACCTTCATCGAAATTATGTTACAGAAAATTTAATGATTTATAAAAAAAAAAGAAAAAAAAACATTAATATATACTGCTTTTCTTCATTTTCTTTTCCTTTCCATTGTCGAACGTTTATCTGAAAATGTGTAATCATTTTTATACAACTTATATTTCTATTTTTCTTTTACACACATAGTTTCCTGTAGATTATTTTTCTTAAATATAATTCGTACAATAATTTTAGAAATATATCTGCTTAATAAATGCCAATTCTTTTACAAATTATTGAAGTTATACTTCTTTTGGCACGCGTTTTAGAAAGTGAAGTTAGATGCGACCGAAAAATCGACACCACGAAGTTGTCGATATTTACGATGCGCGGGCAAATTGAAATTATTTTTGAGGTTATATTCGTTTTGGTACGCTAAAAAAGTATAACCTCTTACGTGCGTACACATAAGTACATAGTTTTTATTTCTCTCTTTTTTTTTTTTAAATTGATTCGCAGATAATTTCAATCGAAATAAATTCATTTATACCCATTCGTATTTATCAAATATTAAATATCTATTCGTTAGTATTTATTATGCATAAATGAATATCAATCGAGCACCATCGGATGATAGAATGGTTTCTGTCGATAATGTAGACTTCCCATGAAATAATTCGTTGTCGGTAAAAACAAACTGATGCGAAATAACAGTTTTCTACAGTATCGACTGTTAATTGTCTATACAATTTCAATTGTATTAAAATCAATTTTCCTTTTTTCTTATTACAGATTGACAACTTAATTGATTTCAAAAGGAATCAATTATACAATTACTAAATAAATCAATTGTGTTGAATTAAATTAAAAACACGCGTATAAAATTCAAATGAGATATGAATATAATTTAACAAGAAGGTAGCCATTGTTTCAAAATGTCTACCAATTTTGAAAACAAAATGGATGACACGATCTCAAAAAACAAAAGAGGTTATGGAAACTTGCTGATATTTTAACAAATGGAAAAAGTATTAGAAAAATCTATTTAATGTGAAATTTTAATCTTCGTTTCGATCACGTACCTTTTCTCAACTTTTACTAATATAAACGAGGTAGAAAAATGATAGGAAAAGAAAAAAAAAAAAGAATAAGAAAGATAATCTTCTCGTTGAGCGTTACCCCTAACTTTTCCATTTGTCCCTTTATCCCAAAGGGGACCACTGACACGTCCAATTACTTTTCTAGAAATGAAAACGACTGTTCTCGATCTAATTAGGAAAAGCAAACGAAAAGAAAAAAAAAAGAAAAAATGCAACGACTGCAGCAGAGCTTGCATGGATTATTATCAATCATTCTCTCCCTTATTATCTCTCACCGTTTCTTTTTCCTCTAACTATTTCCCTATTCCCATTTTTACTACCCTATCAGTGTTAAATTTTCACGACCGGCTCTTCCGCCGAAATTCATTGTCTTTTTAACTGCGAGGATGAGCTTGGGAAAAAAATGAGAATTCAAGAAAGAAAAGAAATAAAACCGAATAAAAAGACCAAAAAAAAATATATTTCCCTACCGTAAAAAAACCTGCATATATCGTATATCGTACAAAATGGCGGACGACGACGCATCGGAATAAAATAAAATTAAAAAATTCTGCACGAATAAATAGCGTTTCTATTCCAAAACGTATCATATATACAAAATTAATATATACAGTGTATATATATATACACTATATATATATAGTTGTAATAATTAAAAAGTAATCCTCGTTCGTATCGACGGAGAGTACAAATTATCGGATTTATTTTTCAACGCGGATGAAAACTATGGTTTAATTGAGATAACCGGTTCTTTTTCTTTTTTTTCTTTTCTTTATATTCTTTGCATGGAATAAATGAAAGAAAAAACAAACCTCCAAGTGAGATTCCGATACGGCCACCGTTGTCCATGAATCGTAAAACGTTTGCGTCTCGTCCTTGAGTATCGTGGATTCTGTCTATCGGCTAGACCACAACGTCGTGCTTTCATCAATTTACGCGTGGCATCGTCGATCTCCCCAGTAACCGGAATACCACTGAATCTCTGTAATTAAATAAGAAATACAAAAGGACAAAACAAAAAAACAACAACAAAATAAATGGTTATTGATAAAGAACAATTTTAAAGGAATACGAAAAAAAAATCACTTAGATACAAAACGAAATCAATAAATTTAGCATATTTTTAAAAAACATTATCAGCATACTCTCTCTCGTATCAAGATAAATAATACTTGTCTTATATTTTTTTTCTATTTTTTAATATGTGAGGAATAAAATAGAAAAGAATATAAAAATGTATGCACATCAAGAAGATGAGGAACATATGTTCTTTTTGACTACCTGTATATATACGTGCACACATATATTCTTTCTTCTTGACGAGTTCGATTTTCATGCAAATCCCTTTTGTTGGAATGGTGGAGAAGAAGATGAAGAAAAAAAAAAAAAAAGGGAAAAAAATTAGAAGGGTGAAAAACGTTGGCCAGTTACACGGTGGTCTGCCTTTTCTTTTCTACACACACTGATGGTGTGGTATATATAATATACATATATATATATGTATATGTATGTCACTGGCAGCAGATCGTTTTTCCAATTGTCTGTGCATTTTAAAACCAACATTTTCTTCCATCCAATGTTCTCTATCTTCTTTCCCATTACTTTCTCAACTCCCCCATTGTGTTTCTTCTTCTATGTAACATTCTACCTTTCTTGCTTTAATCATTTCTCTTCGTTGAAAAAGATAGACACCACGGTTGATTGGTTGGTTGATGATATTTCTAATCACCGGAAATCATCGATAAAAGATATATGGTAATATCACAAACACAGTTTTTGTTCTTTTATCTATTCAATTTCGTTTCTAGAATTATAATTTAAACATTTGACTATTCATATTTTTATATTGAAAAATTGATAGACAATTGGCACGATATTTCTATTGCAAATAATAATAATAATGATAATGGTGGATGTAGGGGGGAATAAACGTGTATTGATGGAATTTTCTATGCCACGAAATTTGAATTTGAATTTGAATTTTACATCGATTCACGCTTGGTTTCTAACCCTAGTAATTTGAATTTACGAGACTAGTAATATTTTTGTTGGCGTTCTTTTTTCTTCATTATTTCTTCTTCCATTGAAATTTATTTTTTTTTTAAACCGCGACAAAGTTTATTTTTACGATAGAAAGGAACATGTAATTCTTACTTGTAAATTTCTAATGGCGTCCCTCAATTGATCTTCCGTCCTGAGATTACCGGTTTCCGGATTGCTGTCCGGTAAATATCCAAACTTTGTCAGATAAGTTTGCTGTAACATAAATTACAAATGTATTGTTAATTGAATCTTCAAATATACAGGGTGTTCAATAAACAATATATACAAACACTACACCCTATCAAAAAAGACAAAATATAAAATGAATCAAATGAATAAATTTATTAAATTGAAATCATCAAAAACCATAAAAAAAAAAAAAAACAATCTAAACGACGACAACCAACATCCTATAATCTCATTAATTTTCAATGGATAACAGATAAAAATGGCGGAACAATTTCCAAAGTATCGCCATATTTAATTTCGTTAAAAAATACATGATCAATCCTAACCTAAATTTTGTACGACGACGACGACAATAACAAATCTTACTATCCGATTAACTTTGAGCAAACAAAAATGGCGGAACAATTTCTATTTCGTAAAAGAGAAGGTTCAAGGGGGTTAAGGTAGTATAGGGTTGGGGAGTAAGTGGGGCCAAGGGGAGGTAAGCTTTGACGACAATGAAGTCACGCGCGGTTCATATTTCTTTAACCGAGCTACAAAGTTTCCCGTTTCTTATTCTTATTCTTCGTTCGATCGAAATGAAATAAGAAAGATAAAAAAGTATGGAAGGGATTGAAAAAAGGGAGAAGGAAGGGTAGGTGAGGAGAGGGAAGTAAGGAAAGTGCTGTGGGTGAAGTAATAGGATGGTCGTCATGGTCGTAAGTTTGCGTTATGCATTACCTATATGGTGAATCCTATTAGATATATACTGCAAGAGTAAGGTAAAAGAAATTGCATTGTGTCACGGAAGAATGGTTTACTGGATACACAAGAGACATTGGAAAATAGTGAAGAATGAAGAGAGAACGGTAAGAGAATAAAAATACAAAAATGTATAGAAAAATATGGTGGAAGAGTAATATAACATTGTGGTTAAAATGGTAATGGTGGTGGTGGTGGTGGTGGGGATAAATCTTTTCTTTCAATATAAAAAAAACCATTCTGAATTTTTTTAATTAGGAAAACCTAAAGACAGAAAGAAATTTAGGGATCGTAATGAGGGAAGACATTTTTTAACGAGAGTTCAAAGGGAAAAACAAATTGGACGAGAAGTTTGTTTACGTAGGAAGAAAAATGTTCATTGATTTTATTCAATATTTGTTTTCATGTAATTTGAAAGAACAACTAGTTCAAATGTGCATTCGATCGATCGTACATAACCTAACTTTAATATTACTCGAAGTTCTTATAATTTACGATACAGTTGAAATTCCATAAAACTTTATTACGAAAATAAAGTATATAAAAGAGACAAGTAATAATTTTATGGAATTTAACATACTTCATATTACATACGACGAAAGCTATTCGTATATATATATATATATATAAAGAACACTATATTATTAAAAGTAAATAGCTCTCTCTTTCTCTTTCTCTCCCTTTCTTTCTAAAAACGAGACGGACGTGAATTAACGAGAAAACCCGAGGAAAATTGGAATACTTTGGCGTGGCAAATAAGTATAGCCGAGTGAGAGAAAGCTTTATGAGCTCCTACATTCGGACAGGGGTAAGTATGAAACATTCTTCTCGTGCCTTTCATACAAAAGAAAAACGTGACCCAAGAGAAAATTGAGACACAAGTGTATACCAATTCAAATTAAAAATAAATTCTACGAAGTAATGAAATAAACTAAAAAACTTCTAAAGAAAATATGCATCTACGAATTTCGTATGAAAGATAGATTAACGAGATTATTAAAAATGGCGGCTATAGAAGATTCTTTCCTCACTTCACGATTTGTAACTTCAATTCTTCGAGTATTAAGACTCCGAGGATAGAAGTTTTGATAAAAATCGTATTAAAGAAAGTGAACAAGTATCCTAACGAACGTTCATTGCTCGAACACCGTGAAAGAAAAGAGGTAAAAGATGTGGAAGATGGGGTGCCATATTTGGTGGAACGATGAGCGGCCCGTAAACGTACAAACGAGTCCGTGGGTAATATATCTTAGGGTAGTAGCATAAAAAGAAGTAAAGAAGAGGGTGGAGACATACAGAAAAAGGGAGAGAGAGAGAGAGAGAGAGAGAGAGAGAGAGAAAGAGAGAAAGAAAGAAGGAAAGAGAAAGCGTGTTTTATTTCTGTATATGTGTAAGTACGTGTACGTATACTGGACTTAGGCCGTCTTTGGTCATCGTGCACGATTTCTCTGGCATTGTTCGTGGATCTCCCTGCTTTTGCTTTAGAACCGGTTGCACGTTGTTAACTACGTCACTGGTTGCATTCCCATTTATGGAGTATAATATAGAACATATGCATACACGTGTGTATGTGTATGTATTGATACACATGTGCACAGTATTGTATATATAATAAATAATATTCATTTTTATATTTATACATATGTATGTATAATATTTGTATCCTTACCGTTTGTATTATACTATTATTAGTATTAGTGTCATATTAAGAAAAAAAAAGTAATAAAATGTGTGTATGCAATATAAATTTATTTATAAGAATGCAAATGAGTGTATAGATTGAATACATACAGAGAAATAATGTACGACACAATGAGATATTTTTGGGCTACGGTTCTACTCCCACCACCACCACCACCACCACGCTACGGAGTTTAACCTCCTCTTTGTTGAGAAAGACAGGGATGAACGAACTATCCAAAACATCGACCCATTTACTGAAATATATATATATTCCAAATTCATTTTCACACTAATTAATTTTGAATGTTCAATATTTTATATTTAAAACTATCTTGAAAATAAAAGAATTATTTATGTATCCAAATAACTAAAATTCTTTACCGATGTATCATCTCAAATCTACATTATCAACTAAGCTCAAAGTATTAGGGATTAAAAAAAAGTTGCACAATGCATAAACCCAAATAGAATTGTGATTCCTAAAAGATGTGTCATATTGTTGCGCGTTGAAGAAAATAATTGGATAAATTTGTAAAGACAAAGGGTGTAAGGTTAAAAAATAATAAAAAACCCTACAATGTTTTATTGTTTTTTTAAATACACAATCGTTTTATCGAATTGTCGTAAATGGAAACTATTTGAAGTAAGGAAAATCTTAAGGGAAAACTCGGTCACGATTAGTAGCAGTTGGTAGTAGTTGTGTAGTTGAACGTGGTCGTGATGCTGGAAAGACGCGACCGCAGCTGCGGTTCTCCCGGATTCTGAATCGCCGACGCGAAACAAAGCTGGGAAATATATCCCAATGATAGATATAGTAGACATTGGAAAGCACTTAAAGTCCAATACACGCGACAAGAATACACGTAACCAATTCTGTGTTCCATTTTATTCTACTTGAAACTCTATTAGATAGTATTTACTTTATTTTATTATATAAAGTGTTGTTTTAAAAGATATTAATAACAAAAGATAAATGATAAAATTAAAAGAGAGAAATTGTTTAGTATAATATGTATTATATGAAATAAAATTTATAGTAAAATCCAAAACCTTGATTATACTTCACAATCGATATAGTTATATAACAATATTTTATTTATATAATCAAATAATTTTAAAATTGTAATATACGATTGTGTTCATATATATTGTATATAACAATTATTTTTTTAAATATTATAAGATTGAGAAAGAAAAATAATCATCCCCTATAAAATTTTGTTTCTTCGTTCACCCGTCGACCGCTAGATGGAATCTTTTTTTCGCATTTAAAATGTTACCTACGTTTCTATATGAGCCTACCAGTGACAATTCTAAATCGCTCTGGTTTTCCTTCAGAATGACGAATAAATCTTTCGCCTTTTACTAAAGATTTCCGTGGCGGAGAACATTTGATGAGTTCTTAACTCAATTTTTTAATACACCCGACGAAAGTCGGGGGTGAATACTGAATCTAAAAATAAATAATTCTAGGTTTATCTGAAAAATTTATCTGAAAATTTGATCTCAAAAACGAATCCCAAAAATATTACTAGGTTGCAAATAGTATTTTACTAGCAAAAATTTACTAGTTTGCAAATAAGTAACTTTGAATTTTTGGATCCTGAGTTTGGTTCTTGTTTCATAACGTGTTGATTTCTGGCCCTTTTGAACCCTTTTTGGTATAATTATACTATTATACAAATAACAGTTTACAGTATTACTAACAGTGCAATAATTTAATATATACAATAATAATAAAATATATTACAATTGCAAATTAATAAGGCCCCCCACAAATTAAATTACAATACAGTAAATTTAAGTTACAATGCTGTAGCTGTTTAAATACAGTACGGTATAATAATACAATATTACAACTCTTTACCAATTACACAGATCCCTAAAAACCCTAAAAATATTTTGTAACCTAAGATTAATGACTTAAAATTAATAAATATAAATGACCAGAAATGTCATTAAATTCCCCAAACGAGTTTTCCCCCAAATTGCGAAAGAAAAGATTGAAGTATCTGGTGGTAATTGTGTAGCGATTAAATCACGTCCTAACCGTAAAAACTTTATTGGGGCAGTATTTCGATGAGTTTAAAAAGAAGAATAGTAGGAGAAAGAGAAGGAAATAGTTCTCTTTTATAAAGGGAAAAAATAGAATGATTTTTCTCACGTTTCTACGATACCTCATCCCTTTGGTTTCGATGAGAAGAAGGTGGCTTAGTACTTATCTTTTTCTCCTTTACTTGTAAGTTTGCCAGCTAGCATTCGCCCGCGGTCTGTGTATTAAAGTCTTTTAACGAGGACCAATTCGATCAAGCTACTCACTTGACCTCGTTGACCTCGTTTCCGGTTCACTTCACGTCCTTGCCAATTGTCTTTATTTCCGAGAGTTAACATGAGATCAGGAAGAAGGAAAGAAGAAAGCAATGCTGAGGTGTCACTTCTAATGTCCCATTTTCTCTTTTACGTGACTTTTAGAAAGGAAATAAAAATAGGTTAGGATTGTATTCGATATATTCTTTTTCTTTAAATAAAATTTCAATCAAGAAAAACGTAGAAGGATCTTGAAATATTTCTAAATGTTTGCAATTATCACAGAATTCGAA